TTTTAATTTTACTTTCCATAAGCGTGTTGTGTGTGTGTGTGTGTGTGTGTGTGTGTGTGTGTGTTGGTTATCCATTATATTATATATAATATTTAATCTGACGTATTAATTAACCTTTTGGTTGGAAAAGTTTCGACATCGACATTTAATTGTAAATCAATAATTTTGTTCTGCACATTTTCAATTCGCAAATAAATTTATTTGCAAATGAATTCGTACGAATACGTTCATTTTTATCGAACGATTTTTACTTTCGATATCTACTAGAAAATTAATCTCTCTTCGTGCTTAATTATATATTTCTCTTGAATACATTGGCATTAAGTGTGGCGAAATAATAACTATATACCTCTTTTTGTATGTATTTAATTAAATTAACGCCAACTGTTTCTTGACAACTAATGACATCATAATATCATATTTAAGGTTTTTTTAACCGATTCTTTTAACTCGCATATACAGTTCTATTATATCTTTTTTCATATTTAATGAATTATTTGCATTTCAATAACGACTTAAAATCTTATTATTATATATATATATATATTTTTTTTTGCATTATTAAAAAGCTATTTCAAATTTAATATTTATATAAACTTTCGATTTTTTCAATTTGCTACACAATTACGCTACAACATTTGAATATTTTTAATTTTAAATAAAGTCTTAAGTAACAAGAAAATAGATGTAAATGAATGTTATAATGAAGCAATATTTTTTATTATCCTTACTTAATAGCTTTTTTTATATTAAATCTGTTGCAACGTTCAGTTATAAATCTTTATAAATTGTAATTAACTTTTTCATTTATAATTAATATTATAATTTTTAGAAAGAATTATTTCAATCGAATTAAAATAATTTCATCAAAAAAAAAAAAAAAAAAGAACAATCAAACTTAAGTCGCTTAAGAAGAGAAAATTTTTAAATTTTTAGGAATAGCGCTGGATTAGAAAGTCGTGTCTAAGCCGGAAAATAACTCGGGAGATTGAGTCGGGCGTAACGTCAAATATACATTTCTAATTTTTATATACCATTTCTTCAAACTAGTCATCGAGTCGAGAAAAATACTTCTAATACAAGACACGTAACACGTAACACGACTAATGATAAGAACAGTAAATAAATTTCCTCTTGTAATCGGTTCATTTTATAAGGAAGTTTTCATTACATCGATACATTTTTCGTTTAATGTCGTCAAAATTCTCTGCAAAAAAGTATTATTTACGGTAATCGTTGTGTTTCCCCGCCACGTGCACGGAACTCGAGACAACAACAACACGAATTCAAAGCGAAATCGTTATAACTCATTCGTTAAGAAATGTTCTATTTCGTGAGTTAACCGCCACTTCTCTTTATCAGAATCGTTCAAGCGGACTTCAACCGACTTTAATCTTGAAAAAGATGAAATAAAGAATTAATATTTGCCGTTTGCAGGGAGGACAAGGAGGATTCGAAGATGTTCGAAGGTACGTAAAACAAGGAGGCGATTTTTGCAAGGAATTGGCATCGATTCTACACGAAAGGTGAATTATTCATGATGATCATATAATCGATACGACGATATATTATTTTTTTTTATAAAATTTCAACAATACATACGTATGATAAATAGTTTACTCCTTGTACGTATCTTAAAATATTTCTACAAAAAAAAAAAAAAAGAAAGAAAGAAAATAGGCAATCAATTATTATTTAATCGGTTCTCGTTATATTTTAATATATTAACTTCTTCGCTTCATCTTGCGATATATATATATATATATCGAATTAGCATAGATTTTCATTTCAGAGCGGAATTAGAAGCGAATTATGCGAAAGGACTGAACAAGTTGGGCAATAAATTGATTAAAGCATGTGCAAAGGATCAAGGTATGTTATTTCACAAGTCTATCGATCGATTTACCAATAATCAAATGCGAAACGAGAGATATCGAGTTGAAAAATAAAAATTTATTAATACGCTTTGGTAAACGCAGGTGGCAACGGTGGCGGAGGCGTGAACGAGGCATGGAGATGCGTCGGCGAGGAGATGGAGGCCACCGCCGAGGCTCATAGACTTTGGGGAATTACGCTTAGCGAACAACTCGCCAAACCGCTGAGAGTAAAATTTATTTTGAAAATTTCAACTCGTTCAATTATCATTACTTTGAATATAACGTTACCTTGATTTTTATTATCGCATAATGTGTCAAGTGTGAATCGAAACTGAATTTTAAAGAAGAAGAAGAATATATTTGTACTTTCTTAAAAAAAAAAGTGTTTGCAAACGTTCGCAGATAGGAGTAGCAGAGGCTCAAGCGCGTTCGAGAAAATCTATCGAGAATTCCGTGGACAAAGCTGGGAAATCTCTTCACGAGTGGCGTAACATTGCGATTAAAAGTAAAAAGCAGAGTTTCGCTTGCGCGCGGGAAAACGAGAGGTTGCAAGATTTAGCGAGGCTGCAAACGATCAGCCAGAGCCAACAGGCGAATAACAAGTCATCGACTCATATGACCGAGAAGGAAGCCAATAAACTCGAAGCGAGGAGGAGAAAGGCCGAGGATTCGTCCCGTAGGGCGGACACGGAGTTTTATACAGTGAGCGTGAGAGCCGAAAGAGCTAGGCTTGAATACGAAAGCACGATGAGGAAGGGGGCCAAGCAAATGGAACTTCTCGAGGAAGAGCGATTAAGCGCTCTAAAGGATCTCGCCAACGTTTATCTGGCTCACCTGCAAGCTTTAGCTCCCCGTTTGCAACAGGTACATACAGGATTAACTATCCTTTAGAAAAAAAAAAAAAAAGAAACGAATAAATATCTCCGTTCATTTATCTACAGATTGCAGACCGTTTGGCAGCTCCTATACGTAATTGCAACGTATCTCAGGATATCGAGATTTTAAAGAATCTTATACGCAGGGTGGAGAGTAGCGATGGGTGTAATTCGGAACAGCTGTTACCAGATTTCTATGCTGAACACGTTACTCTGGCGATGAACAGAGAACGTAGGAAACAAGCGTTGGTAAGAGTTCTTCATTTGATCAGGCAAGACTTGGAGCGTGAAAAACGCGGGAGGGAAGGGCTGGAAACTCTTCACAGAGCTTTCATTGCGACGCCAGCATTCGCGGCAGACGAGAGTACGCAAAATGTAACGGAGAAGCTACATCACGTACGATACGACATTTTCTTTTCTAAATTATACCATCGTTCGTCGTGATCAAGCGTTTATAATTCCTTTAGATGCGTTCCATGTTGGTGTATCTGGAGGCAGCAAGGTACAAAGTTGGGGGAACATTAGCAGAAGTAGAGGGCAGCAAACGAATAAAGCATCCATTGGCTGAACACATTTTAGTTTCAAGAGATAAACAAGGTTTGCAGCAAAGTGTCCTTAAGGTAAACATATAAATTACATATAAATTGCATATCTAGATCTAGGAAAAGGTAAGTGTATATACTCGTTTTGCAGATTCCTTCTTGGGCAAAGAACGAATCGTTCGAGATTCAGGATGACGAAGACGAGATAGATGTCCATCTCGTAAAGGATCATGATGCTGAAAGTCGTCATTGGGTCGTCGATCGAACAGCTGGGGATGGCAACTCGGAAAATCCACCGGACGAGGATGACTTTAGTGATTTTGACGAATTCAGCAGTCATTCTGAAGATAATAACAATCAAGATATGGACGCTGCCGAAACGAGTGGCAAATCCGATGGAACGGAACAGTGTAGAGCTATTTATCAATATTCAGCGAATTTAAACGACGAGCTTAGTCTAAGTCCTGGAGATTTAATCACAGTCCATCAAAAACAACCGGACGGTTGGTGGATAGGCGAATGCAGGGGTCGAACTGGAATATTTCCAGCCACTTATGTTCAAGTTATTCATTAATCGATTCATCCGACTTATTATTAAAGATAAAATAATAAAAAGAGAACAGGTGAGTATGGAATAACGTGTATGAAAAATATTCGCAATTAAAATATAGAAAAATGAGTGGTGACAACGAAAGATATCGATCAGCGATAAACTACCAAAGTGTGCTACAAATAATAACGTGGCCTTTCTAAATGTTAAATTTAAAACTGTACAAAGTAACATTTCTTTACTTCGATAAGAAATACGATGCACTAAAAAAAAAAATTACTATCGCTATGTCGCGAGAATATTTTTTAAACGTATACACGCGTTTATAATATCAAAACATGTTATTACGTGCTTTTTTTTTTACGTTCATTCAAAGTGCCAACAACAACGATACATAAAGACTACGCGGAATGCAGAAAATCAATTTTCGAAGAAGTTCATATTATCGCCACAATATTGTAAATTGTAATAAAGGAGAGAAAAAAAAAAAAAGAATATTTATACAACGAAATATTTCTTTCTATTTGTATTTGTTCTTATGCAGTATAATTTATAAATTGTAATATAAAGTCATAGATAGAATTTAAAAGATCCCGTGCGCACAAATTTTCGCTGTGCGATTATTTTCAATTCGAAAAAACAAGACATATAATCGTGCGATAAATAAATCGTAATTAACGAAAGAAGTGATTAGGCTTTAAATAATCGAAGACTGCTTATTCATGCAGTATTCATTTATAATTAAATTAGGGTGATATGTACATAATTTAATTTTCAAAACGATTGTAAATAGTACTTAGTTGCATTTAATAACTTAAATATTGTATGTAATTTGAAATTTGAAGTAAAGTTCTTTTATTTATCGATCAAAAATACATATGCTATTTAATTTATTCATAAATTATTCGTCTTGATCGTAAAATTCGTCTGAGAAATCTTTCTTCATTTCAATTAATAGTTCAGCAATTATGCGAGTGTCATTAACTATAAAGATTAAAAAAAATTCCTCGTTATATTATAGATATATATATATATATAAAGTGGGTAAATATAACACAAATTTTGTAAATTTCTTACTACAAAAAGGTGGAGTGTCGGAAGTCGCAACAAAAAATATTCCTCGATGGGAATACTTTATTGCATTTATACCCATTTCAGTACAAGTATTTTTATCGCAAGATTCCGTTACTACTTGCAACAAATTCTTGTAAGATAAATTCCAATGGTGCGCCCAGAAAGTACAATTTTGTTTCACCTCGGAAATTAAAGATTCCGTCAAATAAACATATGAACGTCCATGGCTGCATATAGCGTTATTAATTTCTAAAAATCGCATTGAAAATTTGAAAAAAAAAAAAAAAAAAAAGGTTTAATGAACAAAAAGATGAAGAAACAAATTTTTTAAGAAACGAATAATTACCGCCAAGTGGAATTGGTAAATATTCGAAATACGAAGAGTTGATCTTGCAACCAGGCTGAGTTCTGCCACCATTAGGATAGAAATCAATGTGACCTACGCGATACAAATCATTTCAATCCTCGTATACGTGAAATACGATATTTAAAAATACCTAACCTATCGGTTCTGGTAAACCTAATCCGATTTTAGAAAGTAATCTGCCATTGGTATGAATAACATCGACGAACGACGCATCAGATTTGTGAAGTTTCATACTGGAGTCTACATTTCTGAAACAAGGTTGTGCAGGATCTAATCCTGTTATTCTTAGTATTTTCCATTTGTTCTGCTTTCTTTTCAATTCTTTCGCAGCAAAACCACAAATATGTGCTCCGAGACTATGGCCTACTAAATGTAATTGTCCCCAATTGTTGAAATCGTTTTGAGCACTCGTTGCGTTTGTTATGTATTCTAAAAATCTTAATAAAATAACAAAACTCTATACGACTTGATACGATTATATCATTGATATATAATATCTTTAAAATATGTTAAATATTTTACAAAGGGACATAGGCAAACCTTGCAATTTGATATCCTATTATTTTCGTGTTAACCGCAGCTTTATAATAATTCCAAGTATTACCTCCAGCACTCCAATCTACAACTATGATATTAACGTCATTCTAAAAGACATGAAAAAATTATAAAAAAAAAAAAATTACTACCTAAATTTACATGTCAATGAAATAATAATAAAATAATAATTGTATTTCTAACATTTTTAATATTTCGAAAAAAAATCTTGTTTATTTTCAAATTTTTTATATAATATTTAAAAAAAAGAAGGATGAAAAAGGTATATTTTACCCATAGAAGGAATGATTTCTCCATTTCGTTAATCCATAATTCTTGACCATGAGATAAGAACCCATGAACTATAATGACCGTTGGTCGTTCGATTTGAAAGTCTGTCCATTCTAAACCAAATTGTTTACCAGTCATAACTTCAACACGTTTTGGTTGTCTTCTTGAGGAAAGGAAAAATTGAACATCCAAAGTATTGGTTCCATTTGAATTATTCAAAAAAAACCATTCCAAAATTCCAGCTAATCTTTTTCCTAAACCGAAACAATCAACTTGATTTGATTTGAAACTTATTCGATTGTTATTGCGATTTGACGAATTCGAGAGTGTAAAAATAAAATCTTTCGAATTGTTAGTATGAAAATTATAAAAATTTCTCTTAACGTAATCCAGAATATTTAGTTTTGAACTTTCTGTCAATATAATGTGATTACTTATGGTAAAAAATATGAATAATTTGATTAGTACTTTGGCAAACCACCACGTCATTTTTCTGACTAACAATAAGTAAGAATTGTATTTAACACGAAAGATGTATACAACAAAAAAATTGAAGTCATGACCTAATGATAAAATTTATACTACTAATTTCAAGTTGTTTACTTATGATATTCTTTTCCGCGTTTGAATTTAAGTCAAATAAAAATATTTGATTTATTAAATATAATTAAATATAATAAAACAATATGAATTTGCATCTCCGTATTTTTGATAATCTATTTAGTTTTTTTTTTTTTTTTTTATTAGTTATTTCTAACTTATTCTTTTGTAATTATACATACATACACATAATGTTAATTACAGAATAAATTTTTATGAGATATCCTCTTTTAATAAAAATTTTATAGTACATTAAAATAATTAAAATCTTTAAAAAAATTCCCTGTACAACAATATTTCTACTATAATATTGAAAATAAGTTAATAAGTGGGATATATCGATATAAAGATATAATAAATAATCATTTTTATAATTTTTATTTTATTAAAATTAAATTATTTTGTTAAATTAAAAAATATCAAATACTACGTATATGCTTATTGAAAAATAAATAAAAAAAAAAAAAAAAAAAAAGAAAAAAGAACAGATAAATAGATAACTAGAGAGAAAGAGAAAGGGGAAAAAGAGAGTAGTATTTAATTTATACATTTTTTTAAAATATTAATAATATTATGATATAAAGTTATTTAAAAGTTATCTACAAGCATTTATTGCATTTAATTTATAGGCAATATAAAAAAAATGATATAACTGCATGTAATATGTACATGATGTGAAAAAAAAATATCTGCCATCATAATTTTAAAGTCTTTTAAGTCGTTAATAGTATTTAGTGGTATAAGAAGATATAATATACCTGGATAATTATTAAAATATTGCAATTAAAAAAATGCTTTTATATATTTAATTTCTTTTGCTTCTTCTTTTTTTCGGTTTTTTTGTTTTTTCTTTTTCTAAAAAAAATAAAGATTGATATTTGAATATAAATTCATTAAATGATAATAAAATGATATATACATTCTTACCATTGTTTGATCAAATTGTACTTGATTAGGTATGTTTTGACTACCACCTTGAAAAGCACTAAAATCTACGATTTTATAATCGAATTTTTTCGATGGCATCATACCTTTCTTTTCTAAATCTTTAATTATACGTTCTCTTTCTCCTTTTTTTCTTGATCTATAAATAAATTCATTTTATTAATAATCCTTATCATACTAATTACTATTGATTATTAGTTCATACATTTATACCTTGTAAACATTATAAAATTTAAACAATTTTAAAATAATATAATAAATAATATAATAAAGCAAAAATAATCTATAATAAATATTTTAACAGCAAAAATAACTATTTTTATTAAAAACATGAATTGAATTTTAATTAATAATATAATGATAATAATACAATAATAATAATAAAAAGAAATACTTACCGCAACAAATTCATGGTTTCATTATTTGGAATTTGTTTCTGTTTTTTTGTTACACTTTCTTGTACATTTTGCTCTTCTTTCAAATGTTCAACTTCACTTGTATCTTGTTTCAGATCTTGAATAATTCTGGCCTCTAATATTGGAACTGGAGTTGATAAATTATCAGTAGTTTTTTCTTCTTGTACTTCATCTTGTTTATTAATATTTGAATCTCTTTTTCTTTTACGTCCTGGCATTTGACCTAATGGAGTTTGAGATGGTTTTCTTGGTTTCTCTAATTCTGATTCATTTTTTCCTGTTATCATTTGGGAAACTTGCTTAAAGTGTTCATAAACTCTGTTTTTACTTTCTGCAATTTCTGTTTCTTCTTTTTTTAGTTTATTCAAACGATTTTCTTCTTCTTGTTTTTGCTTCTCTCTCTCTTGTGCTTCTTGCTCTGCTATCATAGGTATAACTCGTTTATATCGTTCAAATGGACTTACAAAAACAATTTTTTCTTTTTAGTGTTTTCCTCCTCAGTTTTTTCAACTTCTTCATCCTGTAAATAAATAAATAATCATTGAAATTAGAATTAACAAAATTATATTTGATATCATTTATATTTAATTCTTCCGTGAAAAATATATATAATATATACCTCGGATGTTGTTGGGCTGTCAAATACAGTCACTGTATGTTTTATTGCAATATTTGAAATTGGTATTTCTAATATATTATTTTTATCCAATAAACATGGCAAATCAGCTCTTGCTTCCATATCACTAGGAATATCATGAGGGGAATACATCCATACATCTAAATTAGTATGATGATTTCTTTGTGTTAATCTTTGTCTAATATCTTCTTCAAGAATCGGTTTAATAAGTGGCTGCTCTCTAGCCTTCAATATTATTTTGTGCAATTTTAATAAATTCTGTCTAACCAAGGGAGGAATAGAATCACAACATGCTAAAATTCCTTGCATTTCACGAGGTAATGTTTCAGCTATGTTTAACAACATATGATTTGGTAATACATAAGCAATACTATCATCTTCTATTCTAGCTGTATCATCTCTCCATTTATGCAATTCTCTTAAAGCATAAAGTTGTTTATTATTAAACATTTTTTGACTCTTTCTATACATTGTCATACAATTTTCTTCTGTCCAAATCGGTTTAACATATGTCTTTTTACAAATCTCTGTACTTCTATCATATACAACTTTCAAAATATTAATTTGTCCATTAGCTGCATCAATTAAAGCATTTTTTAACATATCCTTTATATACAATAAATAATGTGTATCTTCTCTAGCATATTTAATAAGTTTTTCTGGTAAAGGTCTTATGCGCCAATCAGCCATTTGAAAATGTTTATCAGGATCTACATTACAATAATGTTTTAATAAATATGCTAAACTTAAATATGGCAGATTAAGTTGTTTTGCCGCTTGATGTGTATCAAACATATTTACTACATATAGAGATAAATCTCTTTGAAGCCATTGTATGTCTAAATCTGCTCCATGAAAAACTTTTAATATTGTTGGTTTTGTAAAAATCTCATTTAATTCGTGTAACTCAGATCTCAATGATAAAGTATCTATCAAATAATCTTTATCTTCTGTCGAGATTTGCATCAAACAAGTTATCCCTTGAAAACTTCTATAAGAATGATGTTCTAAATCTACAGCGATTTCCTTATATTGCTTTAAATCATTTATCAATAACTTAATATCCGATGGATCTTTAATCATTACTAATAATGTATCTTCCAAATTTTTGTATTTTGTTGGTTCAGATTTTTTCAATTGATCGTTAGGAGGAACAAACATATCCAATTCATATTCATAAGGATGATTAAACACTTCACCATTTTCACTTTCTTCCAAATAAATAGCTAATGGTTTCAAAGAATTAGGTTTATCTTTAATTCTTGGACACCAAGGTTTTGAACTATTGTCAATTTTATCTTTGAACATTAGCTGTGGTCTTTGAATGTTTTTAGCAGCCAATAAGCGTATAGATTGAACATTCTCTGAAATTTGCAATGGTTGACAAATTTGATTGTTCCATCCACCATTGATCGGTTGACTCTTTAAATGCGAAACCACAACTTCTACTTCTGAATTCTTGGTAATACCACATTCTTTGTCCATTAAAGCATTCTATAATGTGAAAAACATATATTATATTTATATAGAATAAAATTTACATATGAAAAATCTTAGATATAAATGTTTTAATAAAACATACAGCTCGATCCAATAACACATCATTTGCTTCTAATAAAAGATCAAATTTTTCTTCAATGTCACGATTTGAAATATTATTTTTTACACCAGTAATTCCCAATACATGTTGCATAACGTTTAATAATAATTTTATATTATCATCTTTATTTTTCCGAAAACTGGGAAAACACGAATAATAATTGAAATTAGATCCCGTCGGTAAATTATTAGCATTTTTGATCCCAAGTTTCATAACATGGAATGCTTCCTAAAATAAAATATATATTTTAATTTATACGAAAAAGAATAAAATATATATATATATATATATACATAAATAGCTCAATAAGTTTAATCATACTTGAACATAATCATGAAAACTTGCATATCCAGGTATGACTTGATTAATTTCTTTATTTTCGTTTTTTTGAGTTTCATTTTCTAGTATTTGGCAATTGCCACTCCAATCTTCTGTAGGATCCATACTGTTAATTATAAACTACTAATTATTTTTTCACTTTCGTTAAAAATTATTCAATAAAACAATAAAATAATGTATAAAATTGCACGACATATTCCATTTTTCGATCCATAACCTCCAATTTTCACGATGTCGTTAACATACACACACTATGCCATAGATTAATCTAATCATGAATCAAGTATAGAAATTTACATTTTTTAAAAATCATAATAAATAATTTTGACAATTGTAATAAATACAAATTCCGAAATAGTTTTTAATTAATTTAATATATTTATATTATTTATATTATGTTATAGAATAAATATTACATTTTATAAAAAAGAAGTTAAAAAGTTTAACATTTATAAATATAGTGTAGAATAATAAGTTCTATTATTTATTTTATTATATTATCAACATATATTTAATACGAATAGAATATTTATAATAAACAATAAATATATAAAGTTTTATCTATGGCAAATATCAAATTGGAAAAATGCAATTGCAATGAAATTAGGAAGATTATATGAGAGTATTTTTTAAAATGCATACACTTACAATATAGAAAATGACGTCGAATGATGGCGCTAGTATCACTATAATCTATCCATTCCCTGTTCTCAGCGATCAAGTCCAAAATTAGTAAATAAAGATGGTGGCAGCGCATGAACTGTGTGCGGTATCGTCACGCGAAAAATGTCTAGTAAAATGAAATGGAAACGAAGAACGTGTGCGATCTCTCAGAAAAATTCAAAAGTTGTAGAGACTTAGTGATCAAATTTACCGTAAAGACGATTATAACAGTGTAAATAGTGTATCTTTTCTATAGTT